AGAACTCATGTTTGACCAGATCTGAGCCTCCTGTGGTCCGGTCAAATTAGCATACAAAACTAACCACCATATCGAATAAGCATGGGTTTTCTATTGCTCTTTGAGCCTTGGATAAGTGCCTGTGAAAACAGGGGCTCCTATCATCCTGTGGATGGAGGGAGACAGAGGCTTATGACTCTTACAGAGATGACACTAGCTGATTATCAAGGCTCCCTCCAGAGATAAGTCACCCCTCACCTGCTCCTAAATGAATGCTCTAATTTCTCTCCCGAAGCAACATGTCAGCCATCTGAGCAGTAGGTACCATGAAACAGTCAAGCCCCAGGGCCTGGATGTCTCTCCTACACTTCTCCAGCCTCTGGCAAGACAGGCCAAGACAGGGTGAACAAGCTCTCAAGTCCTGCTCCCTTGCTTGAAGATGCTTGAGGTCCCTAGAGGGAAACTGGTGACTAATAAGAGATAATGATTAACAAGACTTTGGACAAGCAGTCCCAAAGCAGAAGCCACCCAAACCCTGGGCCTCGGGCTCTAGAAGCCTTGCACAGCTATGAGAGCTTGTTTCCACAAGTATAACTGAACCCTAGGTGAATGGGGGCTCAGAGTTGCCTATCTGCATCAGCCTTTCTCCCTGCAGTACATATTTTACCACGATTCACTATTGTTTCCCAAGTTTATTTACTACTTGATATAGGTAACAATTACTATTCTTTTTCTCTAATAATACTGTCCCGCGCTACCGTCTCGCCAGCAAGAACGACGCGGCACACTTAGGATCCTTCTGCAGAACAGCTTTAATGCATCTTGAGAGGGAGAGCATAAGCTTACAGAGTGGAGACCCAGGGAGCGAAAAGCCCAACCCTTATATAGCTCAGCAGTCCCCGCCTCGGACGTGTCATCTCCTGACTGGCTCCTGCTCGTCAGCCCATATGACGCCACGGGAGAGGCAGAGAGTAAGGGATGGAAAAGTAGCAGGCACATGCGCACCAAGGTTGTTTACTCCAACTGACAACGGGTGTCAGCGCCATCTTGTAACGGAGAATGTGGGGGCGGCTCCCCACATCTCCCCCTTTTTGTTTTAATAGCAAACAGGCTCTCCCAGGACATTAGAGGGTAGAGACAGTGGTTGAACTTCCCAAAGAACAAAATTAGTGAGACGTGTACGAAACCTATCCCTAGATTCATCAAAATCCGGGATGCTTCCGACCTGTCCTCTGCCTTTTTTTGGGAAAAGGGAAAAAATACAGCAGGTAACCCTTATGCAGGACAACATGTCTCTCAGAGGAAAATGACTCTCTGTGAGATGCCTTTGCTCAACACCCCTCTTGGGAGGCCAGACTAAACACTCTACCCTGTGCAATGAACCTAAGTTCCGGGTGTGCAGGAGCTGTTCAGTCGGCAGCCTATTGCTTAAGCATAGTCAACCAGATATCGGTTGACACCCCTTGCTCGAGCGCAGCCAGTGCTTGTGCTATGACCACCTTATCTCTTTTGTTTTGGGTTCTGAGCTTGCAGACCAGCCAGAGAATAAACACTATTCCGCAGCATAGGACTGCTCCAAACAATCCCACCCCCACCCATTCTTTGAAATATGAAACAGCTGAAGAAATCCACGAAGACAATCCCTCCATGAAGGACAGGTCAAGGCGGGTAGAATTAATCTGAACAATGGCGACCCTCAATTCGCGAAGCATCTGCTCAAATTCATAGGTCCAATTCATTGCAATTAGTGCCATCAATGTCAAGTTGTTCCTCTTTGTCACGGGAATGTCTCGCCATCCTTTTGCTCCATAACGGTTCTGGTGAGTCGTTCTGGGACCCAAAAGGGATTTTCTTCATTCTGTGTAAAAACACAAACAGCTCCCCTGGATCTTATTAGAATAGGATCCGGGCCTTTCCATTCATTAGTTAGCACATCTTTCCATTTTACAAATTCTTTGGGTCTTTGCGGATCCGAGCAATGCCTTGTTGCTGCATTTTGACCCTTATCATCCAGATTTAAAAAATTCATAGTAAACAATGCCATGGCAATAGCCACTCTTGATGTTGGGGGCAACTCCTTCATAATTCCCCCTTTTTGTTTTATTAGGTAAGACTTAAGTGTGCGATGTGCTCGCTCCACGATGCCTTATCCCTGAGGATTGTAGGGCAGGCCTGTAGTATGTGTGACTTGCATTTGTGCACAGAACTGCTTAAACTTTTGGGAAGTATAGGCAGGCCCATTATCAGTTTTCAAAAATGTTGGCTTGCCCCAAGCACTCCATGCCTCAAGGCAATGCTGAATAACATGAGAAGCCTTTTCTCCCGTAAGAGGTGTGGCATGAAGAATGCCGGAGCATGTGTCAATGGACACATGCACATATTGAAGTTTTCCAAAAACAGAGATGTGAGTAACATCCATCTGCCATACCTGTAAAGGTAAAATTCCTCTGGGATTTACTCCTGTATATCTGACAGGGAGAAACTGGCAGCAATTGTGGCATTGAGTCACAATGTCGCGGGCCTCTTTTCTGGTAAGTGAAAAATGTTTACGAAGGGTCTCAGCCGTAACATGAAAATTATTATGGAAGGATATTGCAGCTACCAGCCGAGGGGCAAGGGCCACCGCAGCCAGGCGTGTAGCACGATCAGCCAAATCGTTGCCCAAACTCATAGGGCCTGGAAGTCCAGAATGTGCTCTAATATGTGTAATAAAAAATGGAGCGCCTCTGCTCAATAAATATTCCTGTATTTTATGGAAGAGAGATGCCACTGTGCTGGTAGGTTTTATAATCCCAGCGGTTTCAAGCAGATTAACAGCATTAACCACATAGGCAGAATCAGAAATAATATTAAGAGGACAATGAAATTTTTGAAAAACCTCCAATACCACCATACATTCCACCACTTGGGGTGAGGTGGCGGAGAATTTTTTGAAAAAATCTTAGAACCCACAACATAAGCTCCTACTCCATTTTTGGAGCCATCATTGTATACATCCACCCCCTCTTTTAGTGGGACGGAGGATGTCACCCGAGGAAATACGACGGGTTGACACACAGCAAATTGTAACAAAGGATGTTTTGGATAATGGTTATCAATTTTTCCCGGAAACGTGGTGACCAGGATGGCCCAATCATTGGAAGTGGCGGCCAAGGTTTGTATCTGTAGGCAAGTATAGGGAACAAGCAAAAACTCTGGATTTACACCAAAATGATTAACAGATGTTTTTAATCCTTAAAGGGCAAGTTGGGCTATAGCATCTGGGTACCAATCAATAACCTTTTGAGGAGAAGCATGTGGATGAATCCACAATAGGGGTCCATTCTGCCATAACACCGCAGTAGGCAACCTTCGTGTTTTGAACACACAAAGAGAAAAAGGTTGGGTCACATTGATGCGACATAATTGTGCCCCTTCAATGGATTTTTCCACTAATGCTAAAGCTGCCTCGGCAGCCGGTGTCAATACTCGGGGGGAAGTAATATGAGGATCCCCATCCAAGATATTGAACAGAGGTTTTAAATCAGCAAGGGGGAATCTTCAAAAATGGTTGCAGCCAATTAATGTGTCCCAATAATCTTTGAAAATCATTTAATGTATATAAATCATCTTTATAAATTTTTAATTTTTGGGGTAAAATCTTATCTGGAAGAACAATGGAGCCTAAAAATTGGCCAGTATCAGCGAATTGAACCTTTTCAGCAGCTATTTGAAGGCCCCAACATTGTAGATTCTTAAGTAACAGTGGGTAGGCTTGTTCGAGGACCCTTACATCCTTGTGACACATAAGAACATCATCCATATAATGAATTACGAGTAACTGTGAAAAGCGTTCTCTTAATGGTCTAAGGGCCTCCTGTACATATAGTTGGCACATAGTAGGGCTGTTGGCCATACCCTGAGGCAAAACCTTCCATTGAAAGCGCTTATCGGGTTCCATATGATTAATAGAAGGAACAGTAAATGCAAAACGGGATCTATCAGCAGGATAAAGTGGGATGGAAAAAAGCAATCCTTAATATCTATAATCACTAAACTCCAATTTTTGGGTAGGGCAGAGAGTACGGGAAGCCCCCGTTGTACCGCCCCAAGAGGATACATTTGTTCATTGATAGCTCTTAAATCATGTAACAAGCGCCATTTTCCTGATTTTTTCTTAATGACAAAAATGGGGGTATTCCAAGGGGAGGTAGATGGCTCTATATGTCCCAAAGCTAACTGTTCTTTAACAAGTTTGGTCACAGCTTCCAATTTTTCAGAGGTTAGCGGCCACTGGGGAACCCATATTGGAGTCTCTGTCCTCCATGGTATAGGCCGTGCTGCCCCAGTGGCGCCTAGGAAAAACCCAAGCCCCTTCTTCCTTGATTAGGAGTAGAAGCAATTGGTTCTACCCGTCCCTGCTCTAAACGGCCCAGTCCCTTTCCAGCTTTATATCCCATTCTCTCCATCATATTGGCCGCTTGTGATGAATATTCATTAGTTAGGGTTAATCCCATGGCTTGCAAAACGTCCCTTCCCCATAGGTTGACTGGTAGTGGGAGGACATAAGGAATAAATTGTCCCTCTTGCCCCTCTGAAGTTTTCCAACGGAGGATCGAGGAGCTAATGGTCGGATGGGCATTATAACCCAACCCTTGCAGTGAATGTGATGCCTCAGTAATCGGCCAAGTTTTTGGCCACCAATGGGAGGAAATTATACTTTTGTCCACCCCTGTGTCCAAAATCCCTTCAAAGTGTTTGTCGTTTACCCAAAGGGAAAGTTTTGGTCGGTCTTGAAGACTAACAATCAAATAGGCCGAATCCTGACCTGAGGATCCCATCTGTTTATCTCCTGGCTTCTGATGAGTCTCGCCCGGAAGGAGTAATAGCTGAGCTATTCTATCTCCTTTGCTAATGGAAAAAACCCCGTTTGGACAGGAGCATAAGGCTTGTATCTCAGAAGTATGTTGACCATCAATGATACCAGGGTGGACAATAAGACCCTGTAATGTCAGGGATCCTCGTCCTAGAAAAAGGCCTATGCTTCCTTGAGGTAAAGGAGTGGGTATTTGAACAGGAACGGGCTGTACGCCCATCTGGGGTATTAGTATGAAGTCGGAGGAGGCGTGCAAGTCCATTCTTGCTCCGTCTCCAGAGAAGTCTCGTCGGTCACTTTGACGAACCGGTTCCCATATTTTTGTGGGCCCTGAGACCGGGGGCTCACTGTCCCGTTTTTTTGAATTTTGGCTGTCAGGAGCTTCTAGCAGAGGGAGAACTCTGCCTTTTATGTCCCTCACCAAGCAGCATGCCTCAGCTCTTTGATAGCCCTTGTCGCAGCGGGAGCAAAGGGTAGGGGGAGCCCTTTTCTTTTTTGATGCCCTGCAATCCTTTTTAAAATGGCCTGGCTTTCCACAGTTAAAGCATACCTTTTTGTGGGATCCCTTAAAGGGACGTCTTTGAGATTGTAAAATGGCGGCAGCTAATCCTGCATTAGTAAGGGGGCCTCCAAGCTCTCTGCAAGCCCTGAGCCAATCTTGAAGTCCTTTATTCTTTCTGGGGGCGATGGCTGTGCGGCATTCCTGAGTGGCTTGTTCAAAAATTAATTGCTCAATAAGAGGGGCGGCCTGTTCATGATCACCGAAAATTCGTCCTGCCGCCTCTGTCATACGGGCCACAAAGTCTGAAAAAGGTTCCTGTGTCCCTTGAATAATTTTTGTGAGCTGATTATTTAATTCCCCCTTTTTTGAAAGAGCCTTCCATGCTCTGATGGCTGTATCAGCGATTTGCCGATAGGCACCCCAGTGATAATCTGTCTGATTGGTGGCAAAGCGCCCCTGGCCTGTAAGTAAATCAAATGTCCATTGTTGTTGTTCTGGAGTTAATGCTATAGCATTAGCCCTGGCCTGCACCTGGGCAGCCTTGTACCATAGGGCTTTCCACTCCATGTATTGACCCATGCTAACAAGTGATGCCTTAGTGACTGTTTGCCAGTCAGCCGGGGTCATGGCCGTCATGGCCAACCTATCCAATTGGGCCAGAGTGAAATTAGCTGTAACCCCATTTTTTCTAACTGATTCTGCCAATTCCTTAATTTGAGCATACTCCACAGGGGCATGTACTCGCCCTCCCTCTACACCTTCAAAGACAGGGTAGGCAAGTCTCAATTTCCTCCTTACCTTCTCTGGAAAAAAAGAGAAAGCCTTCGGGTGCATCTCATAAGGGGGAGGTGCCGAAGGTACCGCCTGTGAGGAGGACATACCACGTTTCTTTGTTTGCCTTTTATTATTTTGTGGTAGGTAATCATCAGGATGATATCTCTCTTCCTCAAACCTGGCTGCTTCTTCTTCCAAATCATATTCCTCCTCTGGATCTAGATCGTCCACTTCTGTGTTCTCTCCACTACTAAGATTTAAAGCTTCCAGTTCCTGCAAAGGGTATAAGCCTTCTCTCCTTTTTTGTTTATCTTCTAATGTCCCTCTTGGGGACTGTAAGGGCTCCCCCTTATCCTTAGATTTACTGGGGGGGTTATCTTTCTTAGTTACAACCGGTTTCTTTTTACGTGCACCTAACCTCTCACTACGCTCGGTTTCTGACATGCTATCCTGAACTTCTTCAAGGACATCTCGTCCCTCCGCTACAGCCCCTTGACAGTTTTCATCCTCTAGACAATTCTTAACAAGCTTCCAGATTGCCCTGGTCCCTTGTCTCAGGTCCCCTTCGATTAATTTCCTATCCAGATCTTTGCCTAATTTATTCCATGAAGCAATAGTCAAGGACCCTGAGCAGGCAAACCAAGGAGCTACCCGGTCTACCTCTTTAACAAAATTCTTTAATGTCCGGTGACCAATCTTTATGTCTCTTTGTTTAAGTACCGACTCCAGAGCAGTAATGACGGATTGAGAGGAGCCCATGATAAAAATAAACACCTGCGGCTCGAATGAAACAAAAGTAACGACCGGGCGCAGCTCTTTTATCTACAAGAGACTAAAGCACACAGTCAGGCACTGCCGCTTATTTATGTCGGACTTAAGGCACCTAACAATTGTAACGATGTAACAATTGTAACAGAGGCTCCAATCCAAAGTCCCAGAATAGCATACCTCTCCGAGCGTAGTCACCTGCAGTTCTGAATCCTCCTTGAGTCCAAGGGGTCTTCGATGGTGCTGACGATGATGAGGTCTCGAGTTCCCGGGTTTCGGCACCAGATGTCCCGCGCTACCGTCTCGCCTACCGTCTTGCCAGCAAGAACGATGCCAGCACAAGAACGACGCGGCACACTTAGGATCCTTCTGCAGAACAGCTTTAATGCATCTTGAGAGGGAGAGCATAAGCTTACAGAGTGGAGACCCAGGGAGCGAAAAGCCCAACCCTTATATAGCTCAGCAGTCCCCGCCTCGGACGTGTCATCTCCTGACTGGCTCCTGCTCGTCAGCCCATATGACGCCACGGGAGAGGCAGAGAGTAAGGGATGGAAAAGTAGCAGGCACATGCGCACCAAGGTTGTTTACTCCAACTGACAACAGGTGTCAGCGCCATCTTGTAACGGAGAATGTGGGGGCGGCTCCCCACATAATACAATAAAGAATGCATATTCAATGCATAGCATTTAGAAAATATAGACAGTAGTTGAGGGTATAGCTCTGTGGTACAGTACTTACCTAGCATGCACAAGACCCCAATTTCCAACTCCAACGATACAAACAAAACTTATATGTGAACAAAATGAAAGACATAGCTATTAAAACAGAAAGGCTGTGGAATCTTCCAGCCAGGACCATATCAGTATGTACTAATTGAATCACATGAACAACAGCTATGGGTGACTGCCATTCCTCCTGGTTATACAAGTAGTTGTACATAAATATAAATACATACATATTAAATACTTTGAAAACTGATGCCATTTCTACATATTTATTGATAACATTTGGTTACTTGAAATATGTAATAAACAGAATTAATGTGTATAGAATCTGCACTAGAATTTTAATAGCACCACTCTAGTGTACAGTAGATCATTTATTTAAGCATATGTCTATTGATCATTGACTGGTAAAACTTCTTATAAAAGAGAATGAGATACCACAGATCTTAGTGCCTTAAAATAACACTGATATAATCATTGTGATTGGTAGTATACACCTGTACTTTCAACAATGGGGAGGCTGGGGCAGGAGGATGAGTTTCATTCCAGCCTGGTCTATATAGTAAGAACTGTTCTCAAGATTTAAAAAAGGGTTAAAATGTATCTCACAATTTCACAGATTGCCTAGGTACCCTTCTGTCGGCCATTCCTGAGCTTATTCATACAGTTGCAGACATTCAGCAGTTCAACTAGGGCTCACGGACCCCAGATATTCCCACTGGGGTGTGTGCCAGTTAATAGTGGATGCTGCCCAGTCCTTTTCAGTTCCTGTGTACACACTTTAGTGTCAGGTGACTCCAAACCAGCCTGCGGCATGATGATTGACTAGAAAGACACACACAATTTAGAGAAGTTATCTTTGTGGTCAGAAATTACAATACTGAAAGGGTGCTGATCAAAATCAGGAAAGGGAAAAAGCCCATAGGACAAAGGTCAAGAGAAGCTGCTCCTAAGCTTCCAGATAAGCCTCACAGTTGAGTCTCATGGGGACACATTTCTTCTCCCAGCAATAATTTGTGACAACACATTACATGTTTGGCTAACCGGAGAAACTCACCTGAGCATTGGTATCCAGGATTTTTATCGTGTGTGTGTGCGTGTGTGTGTGTGTGTGTGTGTGTGTGTGTGGTTCATGTGCATGTAAGTGTGTAAGTGTGTGTGTGAATCTTGTAGGTATGCAACCTCCCCACACCAACTGATCTCAATCCCTGCCAGTCCACTGATACAGCAGTGCAGAGCCCAGGGGAGATATAAATGCTCTCAAGCAGGCATTCATATCAGGCAAGCTATTCTAAAGCATCACAGATTATTTTCTAGGAGCTAGGCCAAGGCAACCTTGTCTTTGGAGTATAAAAAAGATTCAGTGCAGCTCATCCTATGCAGTGAGCCTCTTGCTAAGCACCTCTCACCATCTAGGACTGGTTGTCCTCACAGCATAGTGGTCTTGAAGCTGAAGAAGCCAGAAACAGAAACTGCAAAGCTTCTTCATCTAGTCTCACAAATCATACAAAATCACTTCCTAAGCAGTCTGACAACCAAAGCAAGTCACATAGCCCATCCAGAGCCAAAGAGAATGGAGCATTCATTCTGCTTCTTCATGGAATAAACAGCAGCATCACAGTCAAATTAGAACGAACAAAAAGGACCTCTTCTAGTTTGAGGTTACTGTGGGCTTCATACAGAGTTCCAAGTCAGCCTGGCCTACAGAGTAAGACTCAGTTTCAAAAACATCCAAAAGGCAGGGAATGGAGCTCACACCTTTAACCCCAGCACTTAGGGGGCAGAGGCAGGCAGATCCCTGTAAGTTCAAGTCCAGCTTGGACTACACGATGAGTTCCAGGATAGCCAGGGTTACGTAGAGACCCTGTCTGAAATAAACAAAACTTAAATTAGAGCATGGTAGAGCAAGTATTTAATCACAGCACTCAGGAGTTAGAGGCAAGCAGATTTGTAAGTGTGAGGACAGCCTGGTCTGCATAGTGAGTTCCTTGACAGCCAGAGGTGCACAGTGAGACCCTGCCCCCCCCCAAATACTAACAACAAAAAAGAAACAATCGGTTCATAGTAAAGCTGCAGAGAGTTTTACTTTGCAGTGTTCCTGCATCTGTAAGACACAGTGAAAATATTTTCATTTCCTAATGGAGGTGTCTATTTCTGTCACATAAATACACTTAATTTGTAGCATATGTATTCCTAAATTGTCTAAAACGTGACATAAAATGGAAAACATGCCAATTTCCTGAAGATTTTCACTTGCATGAGTAGTCAGAAGAAAAATAAGCAAGAAAAAACATTTACCTTAATATAAACATGTTTTGAAATTGTCTATATTTTTAAAAGCAATATAGAAGTCTGTTTTTAATAAAAAAAATCATCATCTAAGCTAAGCATGGTGACTCATGCCTGTCATACCAGCTCTTGGGAGGCTGAAACAGGATTGCTACCTGGGCTACATTGTGAGTTCTGACATGATTGTTGTTTATATTTTACAGATAAAGAAGCTGAGGCTTAGGAATTGTGGTCCATACTAATGCAGTGAATTCACGCTTCACTGAAGACACAACCAAGACTCATTCCCGCAGCCCAGGGAGCTGCCTCAGCCCAGCCTACGCTTCTGAAGGATGAGGCTTTCTAGAGCATGTTCTTTCTCTTCTCTCTCTCTCTCTCTCTCTCTCTCTCTCTCTCTCTCTCTCTCTCTCTCTCTCTCTCTCTCTCTGTCTCTGTCTCTGTCTCTCTGTCTGTCTCTGAAACTCTGACATTCTACTAGGTGGAATGATCTACTTGGGACTATGACCTGAAGCTTACAGCTTATCTCCAGTCATCTGGGTAGGACACACATAACAGTACAGTGCCCTCCAGATGCCTGGTTTGTACTCCACTGCCTCAGCGAAGGACTTAGGTGTTTGCAATCAAGTGGACTGGGTGAAGGTCAAGCTTTTAAGCCTCCATAGGAAAAGACCTGTCATGTTTTTCATTCCCCAGAGCTCCTCTGGGGCAAAACAGGGCTTTGTCACTGCCTCTCAGAGGTCAAAGTTTTGGGAAGAGAAATCCATTTCATCTTTACCTTTCTCAAGTGCTTTGGTTAACCTGTCACTAGGACAGAAAAATCTTGATCTGCTAGGTCAGTTACACCTACACTGGGAGAGTCAAATCCAGCTTTCAGCAGATTCAACCTGATCACCCACAACACCCCACCTGCCTGCAGACCACAATGCTCTGACTTACTGCTTTCCTGAGCCCTGACAGTGGGCCTCTGCCCTTCCCCGTCAGCATAGCCCTGGGCACACGCTCCCTGGCATGATAAGAGGCAAGTGAGGCATGTGTACAAACAGAAGATCAGCCCTGTCCCCAGCTTCACCTCTAGCATTCTGGGAAGCCTCAGAACACTCAATCTGCCCCAAGTCAGTTTCTCCTAGGAACCAGAACAGGCTGGACCTGCTGCTCTCATAAGATGTTGCTAGTGTTGACATACAGGGTTTTTTTTTTTATAAATCTGCTGCTAAGCTGAGATGTGTCAAAGATTTGTATATCTCTCAAAGCCCAGAGCCCACCACAGTAGGATAGTTACAAGCATTGTGAGGGGCTTGGCCACAGCAGACAGGGAGCATGTGGTGCACAGTGATGCCACGGGATTGATTAGACACCAGGCTGGCAGTGACAGCAACAGAAATTTAACTAGACAAGTCAGAATGCCTACTCAGGGGCCATGACAAATTCCAAAAGGGCAGATGAAAACAGACTTTTATGTTTAGAGGAAGCTCTGGCATTGTTCTCCAGCTTCAGATCATCTACTG